GGAAAGACAATATGAAGATAATATTCTAGACCCATCAGATAGTATTTGTTAGGATTATAACCTAAACCTAAGATGTCAAAGGAATCGTTTTTCGTGTAATATAAATTTTGTGTTGTTTTTTTGTCCTTCTTTTTATGAAAATTATGAATACATCTAACGATTACATTCCTAACGACATAATCCCGATCAATTTAATTGAAGGAAAACATTGAAATGTTAAATAGAATCATGAATTTCGATTATTCATTTCGAGGGAATATTTACACAACAGAAATGATGGCGAAAGGTATACAAATTTGTCTGTCTATGCAATCATTTGATTACGATACCCACGCATCTATTTTATCTGTGGTTATCATGGTAGGGGTGTTCTTGAATTTCGCTTGACTGTCATCTTAAATGAGAAAAACAAGAATCAATGGCAACGTCCATATCCTGATATTATGATGAGGGAGAGTGATTAGACGAGACTTTGACTGTTCTTCGTCGGTGTAGAGCAGTGGTTTAGATAAGGGGGTACCAATCGAAAGAAAAAGAACAGGGAAAGTGGGAGAAAGAGAAGGGGGACATGAAGAAGAGGGAGGCACAGGGGATACCCTCCCGCAAATTTGTGAACTTGATTCTCGCATTGTATCAACCTTGTAAGGACAGTCACTACCCCTCCCATGACACCAATCCCCCCCCCCCAACGCTCCATGGTTGGATCCATGCTACGTCACTGTTGTAGAGTAAACAGGTGTAAAAGTTGTTCCATTGCGACAAGGATGATGTCAGACGTGCTAAAGATGCATTGGGAAAGTAATCACCATTCATCAATGTCAACATCACTGTCCTGAATGGTGACTAGTAATTGGTGATGTCTTCTACTTAGAACAAACCCAGATGTCTTCGGGGTCTGCCCAACATATCAACAATCCCACTGTCTTGGACGAAGAATACTGATGGGTTATCTCTCCTTCTAATTAGGACAATCCCAGATGATATCGGGTCTGCCCCATGAATCAGTGATCAAGGAACGTTATGGATGTAGCGTTAACTTGTGAGGTGTAATTATTACAGACATGACTCAAAGATGCAATGACACCTGTAATGATACTGCATCACCCGTTCTTGAGATGAAACGTCTTGAAAACTATTGATGTTTTTGGCATCAGTTCTGATGGAATTTCAAGCTATCCTCTGAGAGGAGAACCATTACGCATTTTGAATTTCAAGTTTCAGGATTTCCGAGAACTTTGAAAAATGACACTTTTTTGTCAATTTGTAGGCAAATTTCAAAGAACAACATACATAATTGCTCATTTTGCTCCATTTAGGAAAATAAGGCACAAACGAGAACCATTAGGTTCATGTAAAATGAACATGAATCTACTAAAATTACCCAAGTTTGATATTTATAAAAAAAATTGAAGAGATGCCTAAATGTATTTTCTGCATACCGTCATCCTCATTGACCTGATTAAACGTGTTTCGAAAACAGAATTAATTACATGCATTCTAAAATATTATGATATATCAAACTAAAAAGTTTGATAAATAGAGCCTACATAATTGCATGTTCATACCCAGTAGTATCATATTCAGTTGACATCAGTTACTTGTTTACAGTTTTGAAAATCTTCCTCACATTAAACTCACGATAGTATACATGTACATGTAGCTTTCATACACATCTACGAACTGGACTACAGAGCCTTCCAATAATACCCTCTTTTGTTCCCAAACTTCGGCTCATTACGCACCACTTGTCATTCCGTTGTTTTGCAGCTTCCCAGTCAAGTGTTACCCATTCATGGTAGCTTTTCACTCGTGTGTACCCCTATTAATGGTAGCTTTTCAGTCGCGCATACCTCATTAATGATAGCTTTTCACATCCCAGGTACCTCATTGATTACAGCTTATAACGGACCCGCCATTCAAGTCTGTGCAACGTTTACAAGATGCTTCCTCTTTCAGTTGCTTCATCCTCTATAGAATAACAGGTTGAGAAGTTTCTTGAATAATGGTAAACATTTATCCGAATTTTAACAGAATAATTATATTTATCCTTGTGGATCACAAATTTAATGTGACGTAGTTATCACCAATATAAAATGTTCAATTGTGAAGAGTTCGTTGCACATGACAGCTGATATTATTAGATGTGTTATGAAGTAGGTCTTCCGTAAAAACAGTCCCTAGAAATTATAAAAGAGTGCATTACTTGCAGCAATTATCGCGACCTCATTTCTTGACATGTTTAATGGGCTTGAAACTACTGTCTAAAACGGGGTCACATTAATACGTGATTTTATGATTGATCAAACATTTTAGTCTAGACTAAAATAAAAAGTTTATAGTCTATATATAGTAATTAGTGTAATAGCCGAATGGTCTAATAGTCATGATACGAGTTAAGACTATTACATGGGTGGACATACGTCAGTATCAAATAGGTAGATTTAAGAATGAAAAGATTTGTGTTGATTCGAACAAAGAGTGGAGAAAAGAACCAATGAAGCCATTTAAATAAATCAAGAGAGAGGGAGAGATAGAGATACATATAATCTTCTCCCGATTCACTCCGTTAAGTTTTTATTATGTTTTCTTAGAACATTCGTATAAAATGCAGTGGTTTTATAATGGTGGTTTCTTGTTCTTTAAATGATATCAACCCAAATAACCCTCTTCGACCTTGCCAATTCCACTAATCGTTCGTATGACATAAAGAGCACAAGTGTGTGAAACTCTTTGTTCTTGTATGCTTGTAACACATCTAAAAGAAGAATTAGTGGATGTCATCGACTCTTCTCACAATCTCTCTCTCTCTCTCTCTTTCTCTCATTCTTTCTCTCTTACCCTCTCACAGTAATCCTCTCTCACTCCCCCTCGCCTTCTGTCTCTCTCTCTCTCCCTCTCTCTTCCACTCTCTTTCTCTCTCTCCTTTTCTCTGTCCATTCCCCCTTTTCCCACCTTTCCCATTATTATTCTTTCTCTCTCTCTTTTTTTCCATAGAAATGAACTTGCATTTCAAACAGAGCTTATATCGCGGGTAATGAATTCGGGGATCAGCATATTTTCCTTCCATTCGAACCCTAGACGAGTACATAAATCATGTCAGCTTACATTTCGCATATATGAAACTAAATTAAACAAAACCAAATTTATCTTTTGTAAGTCCGACCAATTCTCCTGTAGCTCCTTCACCACATTTTCATAATAATCTGACATTAGTTTTGCACTTCAATTCAAATGTGATAACGTTACATAGGAGCTAGATGGACGCCACGGATTTGCGAAAGGGTCATTGACTGACCGGCCGTTACCACAAGTCCTTGCAATTGAATGTGTGATCGATGTGATGTAATTATAGAAATGATACATATGCGGTGTCATGACTTACACCCCTGTTACACCAAGGAGACCGACACCAAGCCGACAACAGACCGATCCAAAAAATGACATTGCCTCCAACGGCCAAGAATCGGTCGCTTTGGGAGGTGCAATCGTAGTAGGTACATGGTGCAACTGTGGTTTGAGCTTGTAGACGTTGACAGAAGGTAAAGAGCGGGAAAAGACAGGAAAGAAAATGTGCCTGAGGCGCTTATCATGTGACTCGTATCACAACCCGCAATTCATTGAATGCTGATGACTCTATTCTGCGGTACAGCACCAACTGTCAAGCTTGAGGGATTAATCATGTTAATTACGTTCTGATATTCTATAATTTTTGTTGGCTTGAAGTTGTTGTACCTTATTAATACATGTATAATCAGAAAGTCTGTTCATGCTCGTAGAAATAATATGAGGACATTACGGCTTCAAGTCTTATCTGAGAGACTTTGTACGAGTAATTGAGGATAAACCCCTTACAAAAAGCAATAGCGCATCTACTTCGTCTCGAACCAGGGACCTCTCGGTTACAAGACATCAGCCCCACCGCTGAGCCATCACGTATTCTTATTCGTTTTTAGCAGTTTATGAAGGAGAGAGTATTCTCAAGAAATATTAGAAGTATGAATCGCTTATGTTATTGTCATATTCTGATGCATTAGAATAATGAATGAAGGACTGCATGATCCTTCTTGTCACGGAAACAAAATCCAGAAACGTTGCGCCATAATTAAGTTATCTCGGTCCTCAACCGTCTACTGAAGATATAGATACATTTCATCAGAGCCCCATCATGATTATCCGCGTCTTTGGTTATGAAGAAAGTATAATTGTTTCGTTCGTGAAATATTCATGAAGCATTCTATATGGTAATTAATATTTTCCCACCACCGTTTCCAGACTGTTCACCTTCTTTAGCCAAAAGACGCCACTACCATTCTTTGCCTTCTACTCCGTTTCGCCTCGATAGAGGTCAATGACCGAGCGAGCAAAAATCAGGAGCGCGGTTCCGTGCTCTCCGTCGTCTACCCACCACCCTCAGCTCACGAACGACCATCGCGCTTAGTGAGGTGCTTGACTTCACGCCAATAATTAATCAGTCAGTTGGACTCCTATTTTGTTTTGAATTCTCCCATCTTGCACTCAAGTGTGTCCCCCTTCTGAATGCAAAGACCTGATGTGACCGTAGGCGAAGTTCCTGCGTCTTTTATAGATTACTTTAAGCGCTGGTCGTAAATTTGCTTTGTTAAAGATACTGTCTCCAATATTCTGAATGGTTGATTACGTTGTAAATAGAATAACTGTGTAATTTGTTGTTTTTGGAATCACCAGAGTTGTTTTGGAATCATGCAGTTTATCATGATAGAAACTGTCTAAAAGTAACATTCGTTTACAATGGGGCCAGGTCTGAATGGCGTTGTATAGCTTGTATTGGAATTTGGAATCATCGAAATTACAACAAACTGAAACGTCTTCATGAATATCACAAACGATTTTTTTTTTAAAACGGACACAAAATGGGAACAAGGGACTACATAAACATGGGAACACAAAAAAAAAGAAAACGAGAAAGCTCACGTATTTGTTCACAATTAAAAAATTAACCTTATCCTTGATTAAGCGCCATGTTCATCTTGAGACTTGTCCTTCATGGTCTCATTGGTGTGTGTTTTTCTTCAATGTCGTCAAGGTACATGCTGCTACGGTACTACGTGATAAGGGAATCTCCGCTTGGACGACTATGTAGAAAGAAAGAAAAAAAAATCACGTTGCAGCAGTGAAAAGAAGAACTGACAGAAAACAAACTTATTTCGCACATAACAACCTGTTTTAACGCAAGGGATCTAAATTCCACAACATTGATTTGGAAATAGGCAAAAAGTTGGACATAACATGTTTTGATTTTCAGTTTATCATTTGTGAAGTAGACAATTCTCGTCAACATCTAAATTCCATGAATATTGAATGATATAGAAGAAGATCACTCATTTGACAGTTTAACGCAAGGGATCGAAATTCCATAACATTGATTTGGAAATAGGCAAGAAGTTGGGCATGATTTTCATGTTATCATTGTGAAGTAAACAATTCTCATCACCATCTAAATTCTAACAATGATATAGAAGAAGATAACTCATTCGACAGCTGATATGCCTATATATATATATATATATATATATACGCCCTCGCCCTCCATGCAGGGTCATCATCACAATTAGAGATTGATGGCTTTTTTTTGCGTGAGGGATAGGCCTAAACTAATAGGCTCGTTTTTGATTGATGGACGTTGATGTATTGGATTGTATGGTTGACGTTCATCGTGACACACACACACGCACCCACACACCAACAAAAAATTGTGCCATCTATGACCATTTCTACCAATACCATCATCACCAAGCACGAATTGAATGGTTATCATGGTAACTGAGTGACAGGAGGTGACTCCTCCTCCTGGCTAGTTCCTCCATTGAGAAGATACCTTCAAACATTAATGACCCCAATCCCAATCGATGACTGATCTAACTGAGATGTTTCTAAATGTATCACCCCAATTACAGCATGTTCTCTTCCTCTCGCTCAGCTCAATAATCACCAAATACCAGATTCTCAATGATCTAATGATTCAATATGAATCACGCATTTCCTTGCAGCAGGTTCTAGATTGGTTACTGAATTTGATGAATTGAAGTACATGTCTAATGGGGGCAATCGTCATTCTGTAGTAACCTTGTACCATGGGAAAGTAACATGAAACTCATCAATGGCCCTGCTTTATTTCTATGGTAACCTCTTTTAACACCAGAGACCCACATGAAAATCATCAATAGCCCTAGTTTATTTCTATGATAACCTCTTAATGTCAGAGACCTTCGTGAATTATCGATGGCCCTCCTTTATTTCTCAGGAACCTCATAACATTGGAGACATACATGAAATCCATCAATGGCCCTGCTTTATTTCTATGGTATTTCTATAGTATTTCTAAGGTAATCATCAGAGACAGTCATACATGGAATTCATCAATAATTGTCCAGATACTGTAACTTGGTAACGGTTAAATCCATGATGATCTAACTCTGCTGTCCATGATAATGCTTGGGATGGCATGCATACGGAGTGGAAGACAGTCATCAGGGTCGGATAATGAGCAATAACAGATTAGCATGGTCATGACTGTAGAGCGGTAATTACGTGAAGGAGTTCAACAAACAGACCATTACACACCGTGAATCATTCGGGCATGCCGCATTCATGGTGTTTTCCAGAAAACAAACAATAACACCGACCTGTGATTTCTTGTAAAAGATCCAAAGGTTTTGTTCAATTTCAATCTCGTTAGCACCTAAATTCAGAAACCCGAAACACGCTGAAGAGACAATGTGTGTGCTTTTTCATTTGAAAAGCTAGAGTTTGTTCAACATTAGTCTCGTTATCAACAAAATACAGACAAAAAATGAACATTTGGGGGAAAATTTCGTGTATACATTCTGAGTTTGTCCATTTTTAAGTTCGTCAACACCTAAATGAAGAAAAACAAAGCACAAAGGTAACAACCTGACTTCTTGCAAACATTTACCGGTATCATTTGTTTTCATTCTCGATCTTGCCATAGGTCTCTGGAGAAACAACCTGTGATTTCTTCTACAGATCTAAAGATTTTCCATTCTAGATTTTGTTTTCATCAAAATGCAGTAAAGCGGGAGCATTTCGGGGGGAAATTAGCCTGTTAAACACGCGTTTGAATATTCATAACGACCGATATACCACAGGGGAGAGATTGCCTGAAGCATGGAGCTACCATTAGTAGCTTCTCGCCTAGAGGTATCACGATTTTATTCTTCCGTGTGAAGTCAGTTTGTGCATCAGGTCCCCTTGAAGGTACCCCAAAGGAAGGGATGAACTGATCCATGAAATGCTACTCTAAAATGATCGCATAACCCCTAAGTGCAAATGTCGAAGGTCTCAGCTCTTCAGAAGTCAAGGCATTTCCCTCATACTGAAAATTGGACCACTCGTGACACCCCCGTCCAAAGGAACAAAAAGACAACTAGAAACCTTACATTTAATAGTCAAAATTGGTCTATAGAGACGTTCAGAATATAGGGATGGATTGATTCTTGAGATGCTACACTAAAATGATCTTATAATCCCTGGGTAGAAGCTATTCAGAAGTCAAGACATAACCTTCATTTCACAGCTCAAATGATAGGATTAGAAATTAGCTCCTTACCATTCAAAGTGGCATAATAAAGTCTTTTCTGTCCACAGTGCTTAAAGTTATTGGATAATGACTCCTTAACCTTGAGTATACTTCAATCGTCTTTGGAGCAAGATTGAAATCATAGAACCTTCAGATTAACTTCGGTTCAGAATCCATTTTCTTATAGGATATAGGATTTCCTATGTTGCTAATAATTATAACATTATATCATTTGTAATACCCTATCCAAGGGGGAAAACAATTACCAAATGGAAGAAAGAAAAGACGTGAATGGGTTTCAAGTGCAGTCAATAAAAGTGCGAATGAACTAGAAATTTATGAAGAGACGCATTCTTAACCTCTGTTTGGGTTTTAGGCCGATATCACAAGCCATAATGAAATAATCCATTTTCAAAAGGGATACATGAGATGACAGCAATACGCTATAAGTAATTATATTTTGCCGCTAATTTAGTTAAATACGTTGGTCACAGTGGCGTTCACTGCCATTTTATGCCGTCTCAGTGTTCGGGTCTTTACAAATTGGTGTTGACTTTGACAGTCGTTCTAATCACCCGTTTAAAGTTGAAAACATGCCTTGAATGGCTCAATAGTGTAATGACCTTCTCCCAACGGAAACGTGCTGCTCGTATTTTGTAAAAATGAGTCTACTCGAACTTCAAAATACAAACAACTGACAAAATGGCGTCTTAACTGGCGCTTTGTCACAAAGGAATACTGGTACTCATTCGGCTGTGAAGTATATTAGGCGCTATTTACATGAAGAAGGTGACTCTTTTTGTGTCATTTTTAGCTCATTAAAGATTTATTTTGGAACGAAATCTCTCGGTAGACAGCCAAGAGCACGGATTTGTTGGTTCAGAAGGAAGGACCAGCATTGTATGGCTTCTTTGGGATCAACTGGCGCCTAGCAAGTGAACAGGATGTAAGGGTTTTTTGAAAGCATGTTTGAAAGTACTCTGATCATGCCATTTTCAATCTTTGCAGCTGAAAAAGCAAATTGATTTTTTTTTTTTTTTAATTGAACCGGACAGAAGAAGAACAAAGCAGAGAAGAAAAAAAAAATCCTGGAAGACCTCAATTGGCAGAGCTTTTCAAACATTTAACAATTTCCAAAACAAGAAATAAAGATAAAGTTTCAAAACTTTCAGACTTGTCGGGAATGCAACACCATCATGAACATGTTCGGACATAATACTGTTCAATCTCTCTATAAAGAAAGGATTTCCGCAGAGAAGCCGGTTCTTTTACAAGAAATTTGTAAATGAGAATACTTGTAGTATGTAACCAGCAACATGTAATAGTTTAAATATGCATGCTCATTCCCTTTTCTGAGAATAAAACGCTTTATAGATTGACCCTAATCACGTTAGATGCTTATTTGCACTTTCACAAACTTTGTAGATGTGATATCACATTCCACGAAAGTATTTTTAAAAAAAAGTAATAATAGTAAATGAATGAAAAGTACATTTACACGTGCCTGGGTGAAATCGACTTCGCTCCTGGAATTTACTCATCACCCCATGTCATCTATAATAATAATACGCTAAGGCTCCGCGGGGGGCGCGACGTCTCCGCCAGCCTTTGTATTCTATTGTTTTTTAATGAGATCGCCGACCCAAGTTGGTGCGGCTATCTCCTCCTGAACCCTGCCCTCGGGGTACCCGTGCCCGGTGCCATCGTCCGCGGGAGAGTCTACTCTGTGGAATTGGCTATACTCCGCCAGAGATCCTCCTCCGTGTCGACGTCCAGGGCGAAAACAGACGCGATATGCATAATGCAGGATATGCGTGACGACAGAGATACCTCATGGATATTCAACATTGCATCCGTAGACACACGACCGATGACTATCCGTATAAAATTGTATACACAAAAATCGGTCGTAAAAAAAACTCGAACCATATTCCATACCTTACCTGGCTTACCATGTCGCACGCAAGTACGCCAAAACACGTACATTTTCGCAGTTGCGAGATCGAGACGGAGCGTAGGGCTCGAGTTTTTGGCGGTCGATTTTGTTTCGGTAGAAGCTGAATCTAGACCATGAACCACTAAACATCGCGAAACTGCAATCAATTTCCATCACGAATTCACGATTGCTGCAATATTATAAAGTTTCCATAAATAGAGGTATGAAATTAAAGCCTATTTTGTGATGTTCTCGCCATGTTTACGTAATTTTGATAATCATTTCTTCAAAGTAAAGAAAATCAGACAAAATCACCGTAACTGACAGTGCATTGCCACTGTGTAGTGTGTGTGAGATGAGCTGAGTTGCAGTTGAAAGTGTGTGAGTTGAATTCGAGTCGAAGAGATTTGACACTTTGAAATTGTTATCTGTTGGTTTGCATCATTATTGCCGCGATTTCAATATAGTTTCGTGAATAGATTTACGAAACCTGAGCTTAGAATTAGTAAAAGTATTACTAGACTCTAATGTCTACGTTTTTAAAAGACTGTTTGATTTTCCTGTGAAAATTTTACTTTGAAAAATGATTATCGAAATTCATGGTCAGAAATAATCACAATCTAGGGTCTATTATGTTACAGTTCTTGCATCAAATCAATGCATGAAAACTTAGTTATTGAACTAGAAAAATGTTTTTTTTTTTTTTAAATAGGCAATTATGAAGTAGGAAGCCTGAAACCTAATAGCCTACTAAACAAATCTCAACAAAGTGTAGGCCTATCCTTATATGAATTAATGAAAAAGTAGCCCCAGAAAAAAGAGCCCCCGAAAATTTCCCTAAAATTTGAAATGGAGCCCCCGAAATGAAAAACTTAATTTTTTGCCTGCGCACCCCCTCTAGAATCCCGCGGATTTCCGCGGGTCCTGAGTTGAGTGTATATATAATATAGGCGTGGGGTCCACGGGTTTCAAGGGGCCATAAACCCCCAAAAGCTCGGGGGTTACGTTTTTCAAAGTTGGGGGGGGGGGGGAGAGATCAGATCGCAGCGAGTTGAGTGTATATATAATATAGGCGTGGGGTCCACGGGTTTCAAGGGGCCATAAACCCCCGAAAGCTCGGGGGTTTTAGGCGTATAGGGTCAGATGAGCATATTTTTAATACTTTATTTGTGACACTTGCGGGTCACTAATTGGCGTGAGGTCAATACGTAGAGTTGCGTAGTGTTGCGTAACAACTACGCTGGCCTACGTTACTATAAACTGAGGGACGGAAAGGGGTACGCAAGATGAACGAAAACAATTCAACCTGTTTCATTTTTTTCGCCAGCCTACGCATAACCTACGCAGGGACTATTTCCCCATTAATACGCAGCCTAATTTCTGCGTAGTCGGTACGCCACACTACGGAACTCTACGCAGTTCCAGTGGCTTAAAGAATAACTACCGGTACAGTTGCATCGTTTTTTTAATTTTTATATAAGGCCAAATTAAAAAAAAAACATGTTTAGCTTCCTGTTTTTTTGAAAAATGGGAAGGAGGAGGCCCTTTTTTTTTCTTTTTATTTTCTTTCAAAATGGCCGCTCCGTACATTTTTCCTGACATTCAGGCCATTTTTCAAGATGGCGGCCAACAATTTTTTTTTTTCTTTTTTAAAATCAGAAATACATTTTAGCAGTGCTTTTCATGTTTTTTTTCTTTCAAAAAAAAATAAATAAATAAAAAAAAAAAAAAAAAAAAAAAGGAGGCGGCCCCCAAAAAGGAAGCAGGCGGGGACGCTGTTTTTTTTTTTCTTTCTTTCAAAAAAAAAAAAAAAAAAAAAAAAAAAAAAACTTTTCAAAAAATTTCAAAAAAAAAATAGGAGGCGGCCCCCAAAAAGGAAGCGGGCGGGGACGCTTAACATGTATATTTCTTAATGGCCTGAATGGCAAATAAAGTTCTTGGTGGTTTCCCTCTAGGATCCCGCGGATTTCCGCGGGTCCTGCTAGTCCGCTTAATAATAGTACAGCTATAATGACGTCATTAACTTCTTAACTGATGACTCGCTCGATTCGAAAGATTGATTTTTATTTAATCTGTACAATGAGAATTCCTCTAATAGATTTCTTCCGTTAATGAAGTGAAAGAGATTGTAGATTGGCAATGATAACAAGGCTCCCTGCTGTTGTCTTAACGCAGAAATTTATGGCGAAATTGGTAAACTAAAATAAATATGCATCTACGCCAATCTGATATCATTCAGTACAATTAATTCCTTATCATTCTATAAAAAAACGCCAGTTTAAGATCAAACATCCCTATTAGTGGTATTTATAGGACAGTTTGACTTGTGGACCCTATCAAAATTGATTTGCAGAATCGATGAGCCACTATTAAAACATCGTAAGTCAACCGGAGACGATTCGTTAAGCCGATCTACCGATTGCCCATTAGACAACTCTGAGTAGCCACAACAATAGTCAGCCATTGTTGCACCAAGAATACCACTTTCACCTCTACAAAGGATAAACATTGATTTTTGAAGAGCTTTACAGGGTGGATTCACAGAGAGAGAGAGAGAGAGAAAGAGAGAGAGAGAGAGAGAGAGAGAGAGAGAGATTGTATAGTCTATGTCAGACGCACTATTAATTCTCCTCAATGAAATCCTCGTAATACTTTTGAATGATTCTAAATACCTCATTAACTGTTTAACGTTTAACCCCTTAATCCTATACATTATAGATCAATAAAGTTATAAACTCTGTTAGGAAGTTTTAAAAAAAAGTTTGTAACTACTTGCATGCCTGTGTACGCTATTAACAGAAGATTGGTGCTACTATTATCATGGTCATTATCAGTGTAGGTCTTTGAAAACTTGGAATAATTATTGTCAAGAAATTGTAACATTTTTCAACAGTAAAGATCATGTCATATAAAACATGTTCATACTTTTGATAGGCAGAAGTAAGGATTGTATCGTAGAAGATGAATACATATGAAGAGAAAACGAGAAAGGGATTAGAAAGCGAAGAACAAATATTGATGGGATAAATATAGAGACTAAGGGGGGGGGGGGGTTGTCCTCCGAATGACTTACCATTCTTCTTTGAGGTTTACATTGGGTGGAGATTACAGGTTATTACACCAAGGCCTAGCCAAATATGTAGGCATGATTGACATTTCTAATTCTTTGGCAAAGTCTGAAGATCTGTTTAATTGTCTCTGTAGATAGCAGTAAGTGGAGGAAGGTATTTCGTAATTAGAAAGAGAGGTAGTTCGTAATGGTTGCAGAATTTCACCATCTTACCCTCGAGTAAGAGAGTAAAAATGGTTGGAGGGACTTCCTTAGACAAACACCGAAAGCGAAAGTCTAGAAAATAGAGGAGTCGGGTGCTTATTTCTACAAATGATGCTCCTTACAAAAATAGATGCAACAGTACAAATTTGCTAACTACCTCCGGTTACCTCATATTATAACCATAGGCTACCAATAACAAACATCCACACTTTTATTTGTCACTGGTCCAGACATATTTTGTTCTCAAACGCGATCGTCATCAGAATTGTTCCAGAATCTCTTCTTTCTGTTTCCAACGAGAGAGGTCAACTACAATATAACGACTCATGAAATAGCACATGATACATGTAGATCCTCTATTCCAGGCTAATGACGTGATACGTCTTTGTTCGGAATCCGTACAAGATTCATCGAAAGGTAGCCGTTACCATGGGCAACCTATAAACAAAGGATAAACTTACCTGGTCTGATGGGGAGTTGGTGTACTGGGTTGCGTTACAGGATAGCCTCGATTGAACGGGGTCCCTGTAGTCTGGAGTGAGAGATGGATCAGAGGATTATGGAAAAACAAGGTACATCTTTCTGGATAGAAGTAGGAAAATGACAGAAAGTATTAAAGAAAGACAGAAGACATACAGATGGACATTTTGAGAGAGAGGGGGGGGGGGAGACGGTTTTAACAGTCATCATCATCAGTTCATTATCATAATAAACATATATTATAATATCATAATAACTACTGTAATGAACAGCATAATGATAATGATACTACTTCTACTACATGTACTATTACCACTACTATTAGAAACAGCAGGAATAATACATTGCCTCCACTGTCCATGAATCGATCAGTTTGGAGTCAGTTTGACCATGGTGTAACTGAGGTTTGAATACGAATATATTGAGAAAATAGGGTCAGCACATATGGGAACGGAAATATACACCAATCGGATTATTCCAAATCCCTTGTTATTTCTGAAAGCGAATAAAAACACATTCGCGTGTCGAATTTGATTTGGGTAAATAAAAAGGAGAGAAGCGGATAAACGGATTGAGTATTTTCCACCACTAAACATTGCTAAGTCCCACTGTGAAATTGATGGGAAATGATGGTTGTTTATCTCTGTGGTTCGGATTCGAGATTTTCCTCGAAGTGTGTAGGAAGATAAAAGTTGGATGATGCCAGAAAAAGCATTTGACTGTCAAGTGGATTTGGCGCCTTATAAATCTTATGTATTATTATTATTTATTAAAAACACACTCGAATCATCAAAAATGCCCCATTTCACACAACCATTTAAACACCACGATTTTACTAACATCACAAGTGGCTCTTTAAGCAACAATTTGTTTAATCCGGGATATTTGGACCGTAGTGTAAAATGGCCTATACAAGAAAATTGGAAATGAGATAAGAATGTAATACAGCAGACATGAAGACAAGCCATATTGAATCCACAATAAACTATTGATTTAAGATACAGATTTTATGACCCAATTATATATGTTGCTTCGCACGAAGGTGTTTGAGTTTCCGTGTCTTTATTGTCTTTAGACTGGTTATGTTTGGAAATAGGTATCGCATAAACAAATTGATGTAATTGTAAAGTCTGGCTGGTATAATTTATTGACGCTAAGGAATCTAAAAGTGGCAGTTGAGTCAATCATAAATCTATTCTAACAATTCTCTATTAACCTTTTAGTTTTTTAAAGATGAACGACACTACCCCCAAAAACTTCATGTAGACTCTCTTTACATATTGATAAAGGAACAAGATATATGTGCTTTTGAATGAGCGATATGTATTTTATGCAGTCAATAAAAATTATTAAAAAAATAAAAAACAAGCCAACGAAAACGCATTTGGGTACCTTACCGAAATGTTTCTATATTCAATCAAGTTACAAGTTCCTTTCATTCCATTTCCATATAATCTAGCCAATCTGCTTATGATTCACGGTTATCGGTCAAGGGACTTGTAAATCTGAAGAATACACTCATTTGCTGCACTAACAACTGCCCCAAAACACACATATTTCAACGATTCGTCAGGGTAATTTCTCTGATTCCCGACGAGGCTTTTAACCTCTCACGGTCCAACGTCAAGTTTCGGTTACCACTCAAACTCGGTAAAACGAGCTCGGTTTGCAAACACCCCCGGGCGCGAAACGCCCCGCGCGCGGTACTACAATAACGCTCCCCGATAATTGATAGAAAATTTGTCACAAATCGTCGAGATGCTTATCATCACGTTTTCTTCATTCTTCTCTTTCTCTCCTATCTTCCAATATCCCCGCCTTTTCTTGTGTTCTGCTTCTAAATTGCTGTCCCGTTCCCCGCTCTTGCTTGTTAGGTATAGTATCCCTTTAATTCAGTTGTTGCCTTTCTTCATCCGTCTTCATTAGCCGCATCATTAAAGGGCATCTTCTATCCTTTCCAAATTGCCTATGTCCATCTCGACCTTATCCCAACCTCTCTCTTTCTCTCTCTATGAAATTTTCTTTCTTTCTTTCCTTTTCTCTTCCTTTCGTATCCCCTCCCTCTTTCTCTCTCTCTCTCACTCTCTCATTATCTCTGTCTCTTCTTCCTTCTCTTCCGTTCCTCTATCTTTCTCTCCCACCTCCTCCCTCCTCCCCTATCCATCCCCATCTCCCTCACATCAGAGGCAAGCCGCACATCCCCTGGTGAGAAGGAACATAAACCGATACGACCGTGTAAATGATTTGTATATAGCTACAAACGTTGACAAATGATTGAATATGATTTGTTGTTGGACGGATTGGTCCCTTGAGAATTCCAGTATGGCAGGATCCTTCTTCAAGCTGGAGGGTGAGATCTTGCCCTTTGATCGAACCAGTTTGCTATACATCTGGTATAAACAACGATTATTAGTCATAACTCCTCTGTATGAAATCTATACATCTACAAAACAGTATATAATATATTTCAATTTCAATTTCAAATTCAGTCATGTTTCCAACAAAACATTACAAATCAATTATAAGCATTTAAAACAAATGTAAGAAATACATGTTGGAACAGTGGACAAAGTTTCTGAGAGGAATATACCCACCATGCTAATAGTAATACTGCCTTTTTCGTGTAGGTACCTGGTACAAATATATTAATTGCGAATTGGTAACGTACTAGGCACCTTGGGTGTACGAGCTAAAGCATTAAGCAAGGGTAATGCTTCCGAAAGCGCGCATAGTAAGCCAAGAGACGTTGTAACAACGTTTAATGAGCTATGAAAATGCATTATTAGAGTAATATCAATTTTTGTCTACATTGTTATGCCGAGGAGAAATTAATCGGCAGCCATCAATCTCTTAATTGCATTGTCAAGGTTGAACACATGATCATGGTTGTAATTAGCTATCATTTGTCAAGGGCATGAGTGACAGTAGTGATGTTGAGTGAATGCACTTTCTTTTTAAAGCATTGCAATCAAGTCCTGCTGGCTAGCGTGCATCGAATAGTAAGGCAGATGTCTCGGTCACAAATGGATGCAAATGAAAATATTTGTTTTAGAATTGGAAATCCGAGTGATCGACGAATAGGGCGAATGGCATTGAAGTTTGACACAAAAGATTGCTCATGTAGGCTGACCTAAGGAGATGGAAAATGGAGAGAGAGAGAGAGAGAGAGAGAGAGAGAGAGAGAGAGAGAGAGAGAGAAAGATAGGAAAACAGAGAGTGAACGAAGCAAGGAGAAAGAAGATGGAGGGAAATTGAGAGGTGAGGAGAAAAAGAGAGAAAGGGAAGAGAAAAGAGAAGAAAGAGGGGAGAAAATGGGGAGGGAGGAGAGAGATAACGATGGACAGAATCACACCGAAATAGGCAGAGAACCAAAGACAAATGGGACAAAGAACGTCCACTATTTTTGAATCTAGAGTTAGAAATCATAAGAGAATGACCACTGGTAATTAGACCGCTTAAAATATCCATTTGTACACTTAGAATCAATGGACACTATACCTGGAAACCGTTGTTACGCTTTTGCATCTAAATTGACCTCGCTCAACAAAAGTTGTACTAACAAAGGAAGAATATTTACGAAATATTTTCATAGAAACTGTCAAATCTACTGACCTATTATGACTAATGGTCAGTTTATAAATAGCCAATAAAATGGTGCGATGTTTGTTAAAAGTTTCTTAATTTGGAGTGCGTATAAAAGCAAATGTCCTTGCCCCTTTTTGTATGTCAACATCTATTACGATGACCATTAGACAATGGAATATATGGAATTAAGGTTAGTTTCTTTGTACTGACCAAATATTAAAAAAATTATTCTCCGCCCACTAATCTATCAAAAGCTTTTTAGATGACCACTATATGAGGGACTATGAGGAATTCAGATTTTTTTCTTTGGTATTGACCTAAATATTATATATTTTGAAGTTCTTTCTCCGCCGACTGGGGTATATTGTCCAGCTGCTGGTCATTCTAAATACATATAATGTTATTGTTTGGAATAAATGAAGTATGGACTAGTCTGACCTAAGCGTGCCATGACACGCGTTCAAAGGGCAGTGTAGCCCTTAAATTTTGTCGTAAGATACAAAATGTGGGTAATTTTTTTATTTCATCATCTTCTTAATTAATTTCTCACTCATATTTATATTATTTGAAGGTGTTCTGTGTCTTTAAAAGACACGGTCAACACTGCTAATATTTCTGAATAAAGACGTTCCGAAGCTTTGTTTTACACTCATGACAACGCGCATCACGATTTACACTATAACATTATTTTGAAAAGTCTCGTATCTCGCCATACCTTTATAATGCAGTTCTCTCCCCACCCCCACCCCTCCATCTCCTCCTCCTCCTTCTTCTTCTTCTTCTACTTCTCCTTCTCTTCTGTTTTTCTTGTACTTCTTCTTCTCCTTCTTCTTGTTATTATTAAGTCTTTTCCTTTTCTTGTTCCTTTCCTCCTTTAATTGAGAAAAATCTCTGCGTAGTGGAAGGAAGCAAAAATTCTGTTAAAAAAACAGAATAGCTGAAATTGCCGGTTTCGATCAATTCGCTAAATTGAGTGGCATTGTGCGTCTATTAACCCATCTTTATCTATCTTCTAAACTTCATAGCTAAATGTCATGTGAATACAGTCTTCCATTAGCCCACATCTGCTATTCAGCGCGTTCTAATTTTGGCGTAATTTCATTCCGCCTGCCCATGATGTCGTGGACCTTTCATACTATTCTCTCGCTTTTGCCATTTTCGCCGTGAAACATTAAAACGATACACAAAGCTGTGCACATAGAGCTTTTTTTTTTACCCAGATTGAGTTCCAACGTCAATTATCGAGCGAAAAGATCCAATATTCATTCATGATCATGACCAAGGTCGGAGTGAATTTTCTCCTTTTTTTTTCTTTTTCTGCGGTGCAAAATTAAAAGCTGTACAAAGCTGCGCCCACAGAGTTTTCTTTACCAAAGAGTTCCAACATTAATGAGGGGGGAAAAGGCATGGTCAAGGGAAAGGTAAAAATAGTGAGACGCCGTGTCGGAAAAACACCCCTCATATCAG